CTTTCCCTATTTAATAGCTTAGAACTATTTTGCTTGCCTAGTTCAACATCCTGCATAAAAACAACACTGAACCAAACACTTCAACCAAGCTACACTTGAAACTTGTTAACTTTCATAGTGAACAAAAAGCTTTACCTTGTACATCTAAGCCAAAAGTTGCATGTTTGATTCCCTTAATATAAACACTGAACCTGTTTTGTTTTGAGATGCTGTAAATGGAATTTAATAATTCATTTAGAATTTCTTAAATTCTGTATTCTTTTGTTATTTTCTGATCTTAAAAATGAGGACAGTAATAGTTTCTTTGCTCTAGGTGCTAATACATGTCTGGAGAAAGCACTGAAGATATTAAAGTAGGAAAAACAAATTGGGGAAAAGTAATAATTTGAAGCTAACTTAAATTTGTCACTAGCCTAATGACAGGATTTTTGTCTTCTTTCTTTTCATTTTTTCTTTATTTTTTCTTAATTTCTGTCTTCTTGTTTAAAGTGAAGACAGGTTGCTCCTCCAATGCCTTCTGGGCTCTGAATTAATCTTAGTTATAATCTCAGTGATAACACCAGGCAGGGAGGTACTACTTGAACAAGCTGCTAAAAACATACCTAGTGGAAGTTATTGAAACTGTCCCCTCACCCCCCACATTAATGAAAAGACTAATCTTCTCTAAGTCTCTCCTAACCTAGCAATCTCTTCAGGGGCTGTATCCATGATTAAAAAACCAGAGGGAAAGCAGCTGCCTTTTTATCCTCTCTTAATTATTCCGTGGTAGTTGATAGGTGTTGATTTCCTGGGAGTGCCCTGCTGGTGGAGGTTCCATTTCCCTCTGTTGTTTGGACTAAATGTTCAGGGGGGGGGGTTAGGTGTTCAAAGACTTCAGTGGGAGCTTTTGAGATGGAAATTGTGAGTCTTGTTCTCTACGATTTCATCTGATCACGATGGGCTGCCTTTTATTTGGAAACATCCACCTAAAGGCCAAAAAAACAGCTATCCAATGTCAAGGCAAGGAGGGCCTCTTTAATTACCTTTTTTTTTTACTTTTGTTTTTTTTCCTGCTGTGTCTCACCAGCTGGTGGCCAGGAAGGTTTTAGGACAACTTTAATTAGAAGGTCAAAAATAACACCTTGCTGTAACTTGGTGAATAAACTCAAGTAAGAGCTGCAGGATTGTTCTTTCACTACTCTCCACAGTCTTCATGGCTTCATTTAGATCTATGAGTCACTAAATTCTTATTAGAAAATTCTAGACATGAATTCAAGACATTCTACATGGCTGGAGAAGATTATGAGTGTTGTACTTGCAATTTGAACTAGAAGGGGTTTGTTCTGGCTGGCTGTGAGATGTCTGATCTCTGCTTGGAAGTGCCCAGCTCTCCCTGCTGGGCTTTAGGGTGAGTTTACAGCATGGCAGGTTTTCTATGAGCATTTTCTGCTCCCTCCAGTCCCCCTGCTGATTTGCTTGTTTAATTAAAAAAGGGAAGAGTGCAAGAGGGGTGGAATAGTCCTCTGTCCTTCAGCCCTGCTCTGTCCCAGCTGCAGTGGCTGTCAGTCCCCTTGCTATGTTACTCTGTAAATGCAGATATCTTCTTCCCACCTCAGTTTCAGATCTTTTAGCCCCAGAAATAAACCACCTGACATCTGAGGCTGGGTTATTCTCAGTGCCCCAGCAATCCCTATGTCCAGTGACATTAATCTGATTGTGCCTCTCTTTCAGTATCTGAAATGAAGAATTAATCTTGCAAGAAAGCAGGAGAGAGGAGGGATGTTTGGGAAGTATTTGAAGTTATTTAGGTGAACAGAGGGACATATGATCAGATGATGTCTCTTGCTTCTCCTAAACCAGGCTACGTATCTAAAATAAGGATTTTAACCCTTATTGTTGGCTTTTAGTCAAAAAAAATAAGTAAATAATTTTGATTATGAATCTGTTTGGTTTCTCCTCTGCAGCCCTCTCCCATGGCAGCTGTGGAAGCAGAGCCAGTGCACAATGTGAGGACACTCATGTGTAGGATGGGATCCATATGGCTCTGGGTGTGTATTTTAAAGTAAAACCTCAGGCCTGGGAACATTCAGCTGATGATTTTCTTGCCTCCATGCAAACTTTATTTCTTTGGCTAATTCTTCTAGGTTGGGACCATGTGCCAGTGGTGAGCTGTGCTTTATGGGTGCAGAAACATCCATCAGCAGCTGCTCTTAGTCTGAACTCTTAGAGCTGTCACACCCTTCCCCATGCTGCAAATAGCAACTGGGCCATTCCCCTTAGCCAGCCATGGGGAACTGTTCTCTGGGTGGAAAATGTTGTGGTTGCAGGCATCCTGAGCTGCATTCACACTGTCATAAAATTAAAATTCAAGCAGTGTGAAAGTCAGGTATTTTAAGAGATGGGTGGGTGTTTTTTTTCCTCTGGGACACAAGACTTCCAAGCATCAGGCACCTTGTGTGTGTAATTTGCTTTCAGTATCTGAAAGTACATTTTATTATTGTGCAGGTTGCAAGTTTTAGTGTGATACTCCAAAGCAAATGCTTTTATGCTTCTCCCTTAGGGATGCCAGCTGTGAAAAAATCATCTTATTGATGGGGAAAACTTGCTTCCTGGCCCAGTATTGGAATAATGGGTACATTATCCATTCCTTCCATCCCATTATATCTTTCCTTCTCCACAGCTCTGTCCCAGCTGGGCTTTGGGCAAGCAATGCACTCAGGGCAGAACCTCCCTCTCTTTTGCTTTGTGGCTGCCTCCATTCCCAATCCATCTTTGGATTGGAACTGAACTTGAACAAAACTGAAGTTATTGAACTGAAATACACCATATTCAACCAGCTCTGATTTCTGTTGGGTTGCATTTCTAATAGAATGAAACTAAAAACTGTCTCACATAGTCTCTTGTGCATTTTTGATGCCATTTGATCACATGCAAAGGAAAATTACAGTAGTAGCTTCTCTATCCTCTTTAAGCATTTGGAAAGGAAAACCCAAACATAAACATATTCCATGTTACATAAACAAACTACCTGAGATGCAATTATTATTCCAAGGGCAAAGTGACACATTTCCAAGCACCTAAATGTCTTAAATATTTTAAAGAACATTCTTCAGTTGTTCAGCAGTGAAATTGGGCTGGATGTTAACCAGACAGTGCCATTTGACAGGACCTACTGCAACCCCCAAGGTGAGTTGACTGAGTAATCTAGGTAATTTTGGTATCAGTTGGCAATGAAAAAAGAGGTACATGAAGTCTGATAAGAAGAGAGGGAAGATGTGTTAGAGTGTAAACTTTGAAAGCAGCATGATTTGGATTACCCAGATGTAAAAAATATCTCTGACCTGTTTGGATTGCATCTTTTGGTGGTGCTGAGAGTGGTGGGAGTGGAAGGTTCTCTCCCAAAGTCTGGGTTCCATTCTGCAGAACATCACTTTGCTGCACACCTCCAGCTGGGCAGTTTTGGGGACTTGCAGCCAGTACCCTTATTCCACGTAGAGTTTGGGGGATTAGTAGGACTAGCTGACAAACAAGGTGCTGTACAGCACAAGATCAACAAGCTCTGGCTTTTGGTGCTTAGGTAAGTGGTATCTCTCAAGTTTTTTTAACTGCAAGATATGTTGAGCCTTATCAAGTAATGGTTTTAACTTAAATCCCATTTTATGAAGTTTTTCCAGGCTTTTTGGTCTTTATAAGTCCCATTGGTGATCCACCAAGTCATTTCAGCTTTAGAAAGAACTGGAAGCACAGGCGCTC